ATAATAACATCAATTTGGGTCTCCTTACTAAACTGCGGCATTTTAGCAAGTATCTTCCATCTCTTATTCAATATTCCAAACGATCTCTCAATACAACTTCGAAGAGAAGAATGTGCACGATTGAATGCTTCTTGAGCATTAGTTGGCCGCTTTTGTTCAAATTGAGATTGAAGCCATATTGCTAATTTAAAAATAACATTAATAATAATAATAATAATAATAATAATAATAATAATAATAATAATAATAATAATAATAATAATAATAATAATAAGCTAAAGTTTCAACATAATTATTTAGCAGGAAGGGATTGACGTGAAAGTTGGGATAGTGGAAGAGAAAGGGTTTAATTCATAAGGTTAAAATATGTCATTACTTTAAAATAATAAGGGTAAAGATGAAAAAAAAAAAAATTAGGAAGCTAGTAGCTTATTTTGAAACGCTACTTAAAGTAGCGTTCCAAAATAAGCTCTAATTTTAAGCTAGGAGCTTATTTTGAAAACATTACCAAACAGAGCTTATAGTTATTAGTAGCTTAAAATTAGCTATAAACTCCTAGCTTAGCGTTGCCAAACAGAGCCAAAATGGTGAAAATTTGTTACATTGCTGAGCTATGTCGGATCAGGCACCAATAGTAATTGTCACACATCTCAATGTGATTGACCATTCTCAACTTCTTGTAAGAGTTTTTTAAAAGTTTTTATGGATTTTTTGGTGAAATGAAAGAGAGAATGCTAGAGAAAAAAAAAAAAAAGTTAGTAAAATTTAGAATTTTTTTTTTGTTTTTGTTTTTTTTTTTTGTTTTAATTTAGTGAGATTTATGAAAAAAATATATATATAATAACAATAGAAAAGTAATGATGGTGTGATTCTTGTGTATCGGTAACTGAGCGCATTAAGAATAATCGCCAACTGGCTTTTTTTAAAAAAAAAATTTTGTTTTTTTTTTTTTTGACAAAACTCCAGCCGTTAATACAACTGTCGGATCGAGTTGTACGTTTTACTGCATTTTTATTTTCTTTTACAGTATAGATTTTCATATTTGAATTTTTTTTACCAATTCACAACAGCTCATAAAAATTTATGTTTCAATAACAATAATACTAATAAAGAAGCCATCATATGAAAGAGTAGAATTCTTGGAATTAAGATTCTTTTACTTTTTACTCTAGCAATGTAGCATGGTGGGCATTTGGGGTCTATATAATATAGGTTAGTTCATTGCCGTCATTTTGTTTGAGAATAGTACAACATTCTACTCAACCATTTCTTTCATTTCCTATTGATTTGACAAAATAAATAAATAAATAAAATAAAATAAAATACAAAACCTACATGGGCCCGAGGCCATTTTGTAACGGACCTTAGCTTTCAATTAAATATGTGAATCAATTATTTATGAACTAATTTCATTTCTGGTCTCATGATTTTTGAGATCTTGTCATTTTTTGTGCATAATTTTATTTTTTTTTTTTAATTTTAGTGCCTAAATTTTAAAATTGTACACTAAAAATGATAAACTTTAAAAATTATGAGACGAAAAATGAAATTAATTAATTCATTAACATTTTAAGGGTATATTATGTAAATTCTTACGTTTTAATTATTCCATACGGACCTTAGGTCTTTGCTTTCATTTAAATATGTCAACCAATTATTTATTTATTAACATTTTAAGTGTATACTATTTAAATTCTTACATTTTAATTATTTTTTTTTGAATGCTACTAGCTCTATTAGAGTTAATAACGCCTCCACTGAGGCTCGAACTTATAACCTTCTAAATGGAAGTCCAACCCGGATACCATTAGAACACATAGTCCTGGTACATTTTAATTATTTAATTATTCTATACTAACTATATTATTTTAATCTTTTAACTTTTTGCTATTGTAATATACCCTCCTAATTTTTAAAAACCCTCCTAATTTTTAAAAAATCTACTTTTTTAGTTACTAAAGCAACAAACTATTAAACATGGGTATTTTAATAATTGAGTATTTTAATAATTTGTCTTCTTTTTTATATATATTTTTAATAATCTCTTCAGTTTTAATATTTTATTTACAAAATAGATAACTTGATTTTAACATGTTTGTATAGGAAAAAAAAAATATGAATGATGTACCACATATAAAGAGGAAAAATGTCGTCAATTTTTTGTTTGCTAATAAAATATCAAAACTAGCTAAAGAGGTTATAAAGGAGAAAAAATATAATAAATTACTATAATACTAATGTACTAAATAAATTTTAATGTGGTTGAAGAGTTTTGAATGATCTAAAATTGTAACTTTTTTTTTTTGAAAATATTCGGAGGTATATATTACAATGACAAAAAGTTAAGAATTAAAACAAATAGTATAAAACACTTAAGCGACTAAAAATGTGATTTCTTTATACAAAATAAATTTCTTACCTAGGAGAATTCAAATTGACTCGGAATAAACTCAAATTGTTAATTAATCATACTCAAAATAATGTCTATAAATAAATAATTTTATACCCTTTTTTCGACATTGCATTTCTTTCCCTCAATCTACTAAATAGGAACTAATTGAGTTGTCTGGTCCGTGCAAGCTTCAATTTTACATTCCTTTTTATTCTTCTATTTTTCTAAAAACTCTGTCAGATCAGGATGCGAGACCTTTAAGATTGGGATTTAATCTTTTGGGTGAAGATTCATGATGAGTATACCTTGGGATTAGGTACTTGCCCAAAATGTAATAGTCAAACCTCGATCACCTCCAGTTCATATCTTCTAGGTTTGTACAAAAATAATAGATGCAGCAGCCATGCAGGAAGGAAGATTATAATGTGAAAGAACATCTCCCCACTGCGGCTCTGATCTGCCTCTTCATCTGACATATCATATACTTCAATTCCTCTCAAATTTCTGTCATTTGAAATTTCCCACCAAGAAATTTTTGACAACACCGATGCTAATGCTATTACCCTATTATTACGCGCTAAATACAGTTGGCCCTTAATTGGCAGGTTAAAACAGTTTAATTTCTTTTTTTTTTTTCTTTTTTGCTTTTTAAGCAATATTTTGGATTTAAACTTTATGGATAAATTAATAAATATTAAAAAAGTTGTTCATATGATCATTGATTCTATCAAAATTTGAGTTTAAAAATTTGAGCAATGATCATATCTAGTTGAAACTAAGATTTGTTTACACCATATGTAGAGTGATCTATTTTATAATTAAAAAGGAATAAGAGTAAAATTGGTCATCGAATTACACAAGTAAATATAATTAGGCTATTGAACGCAAAAAAAAAAAAATACAATTGAATCCATGAACAACGCAAAATGATGCAATTGAACGCAAAAGCAACTTACTTATCGTAAGTGGAGGTTATTTTATTAAAATATTATTTTTTATTTATTAACTAATTTAAAAAAAAAAAAAAAAAAAAAAACCAACGCCTTCGTCTCCAGGCTGCCAGACGAAGAATGGGTCTTCGTATTCTTCGTCTCCGGCCTGGAGACGAAGAGGTCCTTCGCCTCCAGGTTGTCGGAGACGAAGGCTTTTATATATATATATATATATATATATATATATATATATATATATATATATATATATATATATTGTTATTTTGATCTTTTAATTATTTTAAATAATCCAATTTGAGTTGTTGATTATAAAATGAATATATATGGTCCGTTATTATCCTCTCAGTTGTAGATATATCCTTTAATTATAAGGCAAACACATTTAGTCCATCAATAATATCCTCTTCTGTAGTATATATGTTTATTTCACTTACGACACAACACAAATCCCTATTTCAATCGAATGGTAAGAAATTTTGTTACTCTACTATTGATCAAACAATAATGAATGAGAGAGAAAAAAAATATTATTACCAAGTGACTCTACTGTGATACTGTCTCATGGATTGTTATCCATGAGACATATTCGGTCAAGATAAAAATGTCATACTTAAAACTATTACATTTTTTCTAATAAACATTTTAGTTATGCTTAGTATTACATTTTCACGTATAATTATGAAATTTTTATCCCTCTTTTGAGTTGGGAGGAATAGTACGGGAATGGCGATTCATACATAGTAGGCCCCTAGAACGCTATCCGAATCTCCCCCACCCATCCTACGAACAAAGATTCGTGAGACGGTCATACAAAAATTTTTGCCATTGTTACCCAGGCCAGAAGTGTAATTTTATTTTATTTTATATTTTTAAGTGCAGTTTAATCAATAAATATTTTTGATAGACACATTCTTGTTTTATTGTTACTTTCTTTAAACGACTGAATAGGTCAAATGCTTCAATTTCACAAGCAGACCGAATATCCCATTGATCCAAAAATTGCCCGCAATTTGCGTTCAAATATCAAGACTTTTTTTCTTAAATCTACACATCAGTTATTTATTTATTTTTCCCCTGTTCAAATGAAGTTGATTTAGTTAGAACAAGACACCGTTGGAAAGAATAATAATTTGTCACAAATTTTCATTGATAATGATATTGCCTTAAATAAGTAGAATAACTTCATTAATTGACAATTTATAAACTAATGGATTTTGAGTGATGAGAAAGACCTTCTCCTCGCAAAAGGTTGAATTCTCAATCTCAAGAGTCTCCCGTACTCCAACCCAATGTAAATTACGGGGTGACTCAATAGTTCAGAACCAGCAGAAGAGATCTGCCTACTTTGGAGATAATTCTCACACTGTCACCGTCGATGTTTGAACCTTGGTTTTTTTCCTAAATACTGTCTACTAAACCATTGAGCTAAACCAGTGTGGACATGGCGAGAAAAACCTGCCACCACTACTAGAGAGTATGCAATAAGTAAATCTTGCCTTGCTGGCAAACAATCACAAGGAGGTAAACCAATAAATTAATTGATTTCACACAAAGATGTAGCATAATTATAATTAATCTTACCATTAAAGTTGGAAGAATTGATAACATAGTACCCTGTATTACTAATATATATATATATATATATATATATATATATATATATAATATTTATATACATACATAATGATCACCCAATTAGTGGGGTGAAAACAGAGGAAATGTAACCTGGTAATACTAATAATACGACCGCAGACTACAAGTCTCCCAAGATAATTAATTCTCAAGTATCAGATTATGAATTGCAGGTTGTAATCTGCAGATTTCAGAGAACTGATAGAAATTGGCTATGGAGTCTCAGAAGAAGAATGGGTTAAGATTAGCAAAATGTGGGTGGGTGGGTGGGTGGGAGAAGAATGATTAAATCATGGGCTGTGATGATGGAATGACAGAGCAAAGCTCAATGGACCCATAATCAAGAAGCTCCTCAATCATCTGTTCAATGTGGTCATCTTCAAGAGGCTTTATGAATTGCGTTGTTGTGTTTCCAATTCCTCCGCCCACGGCGGCGGCCGCCGCCGTCTGCGGTGGCTGCTGCTTGTCCGGGGGCGACCAGACGGCCAAATTTGCGGCAATGGCGGCGGGGATAGGGGGGTTGTGTGAAACCGGCGGCGCCGCCATTCGTTGAGGGTGGTGTTGGATTTGAGGTGATGATGTTTTGGCCATTTGGAGAGAGGCCATATAGCATCTGTGCAATTTGGCTGTTAAGGTTGCCGAGAGTAGCTTGGACGAGGATGTCTGCGGCATGTTTGGGTTGTAGGGGAAGTTGGTTCTTGCCCTTGGACCACACATTAGCCTTGCTGCTTCGTCGTAGGCTCTTGCAGCATCCTCTGCTGTCTCAAATGTCCCTAGCCAAATTCTCGTTTTCCTGCAAACCAAACACTTCATTAATGACAGCTACTATGTAGTATGATGACACTTTTGTTACCATTAACCCCTATTAACGCCAATTATTATGTAATCTGATGACACACACTTCTGTTACCATTTCAATTGGCTGGTCACAGAATCGAACCATTACCTTGTAAAGACTGGTGAGCGTTTCAAAATCCAAAACTACACCTAATGTACACACGAATATGTTAAACAGTAGTTCTGAAGTCTGAACTAAACTAAAAGTTATTGTAACTTACAATAACGGGTGACGGATTTCAGACACCCAGGAACCCCAATGCCTTTGTCGGACGCCGCGATAACGTTGTTGTGGTCGTGCCATTGTGGAATACTAATGCAAAGTGCAAAAATGGGAGGTGGGTTTTGGGAGTTGTATGCTTTAATTTCTTGTTTGTGTTGAGGGGAAGTGAAGTGGCTCAAGGAGAGAGGGTTAAGGCAAGGAGGGAATGAGGGGTTTAAGTAGTTGGCTCCATTGAGAGGGACATGCGGTAAAAAATGTCAATTTTCTCCCCATTGCCATCTTGGTCTGCTCTGTCAACCAAAAAACTTAACAATGGGCCCCACCTAGGGTTGTGTTGTTTGGGGGGTGGGGATGGGGGTATCTTGGACCTTCTTTTGTTTGTTTCTCTATCATTAATTATATTTCCTAGTTGGCTTGTTATGACTTAAAATATGTTACAAGAATAAAGATATTTGAGAAACAGACCAAATTCAAGTAATGTGACTATAATAATAACTTTTGTTGCAATAAAATCCCAATCTATTGGTTTTCTTGAATTTTCCTAAAGAATTTTAAAGTCAGTCCCATACCATGTGAAGAGAAATCATACCTCAATCAACATTTCTATATAGTCCAATAAAGAATACCTATTATAATCTAATAACAACTTAGGGTATTTAGTCCAATTATAGTTGTCGCATGTTAGGATTGAATTATATAGATAGAATGATTAAAATAAATAATTAAATACATTTAATTTTGTTTCTTAAGGTATGAATCCTTGAAAGCAAGAAGCAAATTAAACTAATACATTATTTTTAAGTATTAACATCTTTTAATCATTTCCATATGGAATTGTAAAGAAATAAATTCAAGTTAGTCTTTTTGGTTTGAACTAGTCAGTTTTGGACAACCTAGGTTGGTTTACATCATTATAGTTCTTTGCCGATTAACGTAACAAGGCAAGATTGGTCCAATGTATACCTTAGGTGGTGATTGCGTATTTCTCTTGTCACTCAAAACTATTAGGACTCTATTATTATTAGTATTCGTTACCTATTGTTACTAGTATTAGTCTTGTATTAGGTTTGCTATTCGCTACTATATATATTCCTGTACAGACTTATTATTTGATTCATTCAGAAATATTATATCCTCATCTGGTATCAGCAGGTTCTTTTTCTCTCTCTCTATGGCGCACCTCAGTTCTGATGGCGGTTCTGTTGAAAGTTCTGAACGGACTGTTTCTGAGGCTGCGCTTGTGGCACCCCTGCAGTCCGGGGTGTCGTTTTCTTCGGCTCATCACTTCGTTTCCATCACATTGACATCCCGTAATTTTTTGTTTTGGTGCACTCAGCTTCTTCCGTTCCTGGATGGCCAAGGATTATTCGGTTTTGTCGATGGAACGTCTGTGTGTCCCCCGTTTACTGCGATTACAGTACCTTCTGCTGAGGAGGCTGCTGCTGCCGTGTCTTCGTCGGCCGTATCGTCCGCCACTCGGAGTGCATGGCTTCGTCAAGATAAGGCCGTGCTCTCCTTGTTGATCTCGTCCTTGTCCAACGAGATGATGCATCTTGCCATCGGTAAAACCTCCTCTCGGCATTTGTGGGTGGCGATCGAACAGGTTCTTGGTTCGACGACTCGGGCCCGTGCTCTTCGGTTGGTGGGCGAACTGCAAGGATTGCGGCAGGGGGATGCTTCGATCCCGGATTATCTTGGGCGTGCTCAGGTGCTTATTGAGGATTTGGCACTTGCCGGCCGTCCGGTGACACTAGAAGATCAGAATATGTATATATTCCGGGGCTTGCGGTCCGAATATCGCCCTTTGGTGGCGTCGCTGACGAGGGGTGCTCCGGTGTCTTTACCCGAGTTATCCGATTTTCTTGTTTCGCAGGCCTTTATATGTGCTGATGATGGTGGTGACGTTGCTGCTGCTCCGGTCGCCATGGCGGCTCAGCGAGGTGGAGGTCGCTCGGGCGGGCAGCAGCGTGGCGACGGCAATCGAGGCCGAGGTCGTGGCAAGGGCCGAGGCCGCGGTCGAGGTGGCGCCGGGGCTGTCCAGTGCCAGATCTGCTCCAGCGAAGGCCACTCGGCCGCTTCGTGCTATCGTCGTTATGATGGCGCTCCGGGGCCGCGGGCACATGTTGCATATTCTGTTGATGATTCGGCTTCGGTTAATCCTCAGCAGTGGTTTCCTGACACTGGTGCGTCGAATCATGCCACTCCGGATCCGTCTTTAATGTCCTCGGCGGTTCTTTATAATGGTCCGGATCATCTTCGTGTTGGTGACGGTAAGTGTTTACCTATTGTTAGTACTGGTTCATCTTCGTTAGCCGCATCTAAAACACTGTTTCGATTGTCTGATGTTCTTCATGTTCCTGGGCTTTCTGCGTCTTTATTGTCTGTGCAACGGTTTGCTCGTGATAATAATGTCTTTTTTGAGTTTCACCCTGATTGTTTCTTTGTGAAGGATCGTTCAACCAGGGAAGTTCTATATAAAGGGCCGGCTTCGGGGGGTCTCTATTCTTGGCCTGTCTCTCGTTCAAGTCCCGCTGCGTTTGTGGCCTCTCGAGTCTCCTCTGACGTGTGGCATAGCCGGTTGGGTCATCCTCACCCGCGTGTCTTGCGGCAGATTTTAAATTCATGTTCTATTCAGTCTAGTTTTAGTGATACTTCGGAATTGTGTCGTGCTTGTATGCTTGGGAAATCCTCACGGTTTCCCTTGCCTCGTGTCAATACTACTACGTCTCATGTTTTAGAACTTATATATACTGATATTTGGGGCCCAGCGCCTTTTCTTTCCGTCAATGACTTTCGTTATTTTGTTTTGTTTGTTGATGACTATACGCGCTATGTATGGTTTTATCCTATGCGTTTGAAAACTGATGTGTATGCTATCTTCGAGCAGTTTCGGTCACTAGTTGAGCGTTCATATGGTCGTAAGATTGTCTCTATTCAATCTGATTTAGGGGGAGAGTATAAACGTTTGCACCGTACTTTTGTCTCTTTGGGTATTAATCATAGGCAGTCTTGTGCCTATACCCATGAGCAGAATGGTAGAGTTGAGCGTCGGCATCGTCACGTTGTGGAAACGGGTTTGGCTCTCTTGGCCCAGGCTTCGGTTCCACAACGATATTGGGATTATACCTTTGAGACTGCGGTCTATCTCATCAATAAGATGCCGACTCGGGTTTTGGATAATGATAGTCCTCATTCTCGGTTGCATCGTTCTAGTCCTTCTTACTCTTTCTTGCGTGTGTTTGGCTGTCTCTGTTATCCTCTATTACGCCCGTATAATCGTAACAAGTTGCAGTATCGGTCTTCTCCGTGTGTGTTTCTTGGTTATCCGTCTTCGTTTCGTGGCTATCGTTGTTTTGATCCTGCTACTAACAAGGTATTCATTTGCCGTCATGTGCGGTTTGATGAAACCATATTTCCATTTGCTTCTTCTGTCCCCTCTCAGGTCTCTAGCTCTCGCCCGATTGAGCCGTGGGGTGTTGGCGCCGTTCAGGTTGGCGCGAGCTCCGGTGTTTGTTCTGCTGGGCCGGATCCTCGTCCGGAGATGGACACGGATTCCGGGGCTGCTGGTGCTGCTTCTGATTCCCGCACCGAGACTGCCGTGGCTCCAGATGTGGCAGTCTCGGGTGCTCCTAAGGCGCCCAAGCGAGGTCGGCGCGCGGTAAAACCGGTTCCACCTCGGTCTCATGTTATGGTGACTCGTTCTTTGGGGCCGACGCAGCATGTGGCTCTTATGACTGTTTCTGAGCCGACCTGTTATTCTCAAGCAGTTCGGTATCCGGAATGGCGTGAAGCCATGGATCTTGAGTTTAATGCCTTGCTCCAGAATCACACTTGGCGTCTGGTTAGTCGCACACCTGGTATGAATGTTGTAGGCTGCAAATGGGTGTTCAGGACGAAGCGCAAGGCTGATGGCACGATTGAGCGGCACAAGGCTCAGTTGGTGGCTAAGGGGTTCAATCAAGTCGCAGGACAGGACTTTTTTGAGACCTTCAGTCCTGTTGTAAAACCCACAACCGTGCGGCTTCTTCTCTCCTTGGCTGTCTCTCGCGGTTGGGTAATTCGGCAGTTGGATGTTCACAACGCCTTTCTGAATGGTAATCTTGCAGAGACAGTCTACATGCGACAGCCGCCTGGCTATGAGGACTCGTCACGACCGGATGATGTATGCTTATTACAGAGGTCACTCTATGGTCTTAAGCAGGCTCCTCGCGCATGGTTTAACATGTTACATGCTTTCTTGGTGTCGGTTGGTTTTTCACCTTCAAAGACTGATGTCTCTTTATTCATATACACTCGTGACTCTGTATCTTTATATGTGCTTGTTTATGTGGATGATATCCTTGTTATGGGATCTGATGATTCGCGTGTTACTCGGCTTCTGACTGACTTAGCCTCGGAGTTCAAGATTCGTGACATGGGTGCTCCGTTTTTTTTTCTGGGCATTGAGACGGTCTCTCGTGGTGATGGTTTGTTTCTTTCTCAGCAGCGATACATGCGAGATATCTTGAGCCGTGCAGGTATGGTGGACTGCAAGCCGTTGGCTACTCCGGTGCCTGTGACTCGACCCGTTTCTGAATCTGTGGTTCCTTATGCCGATCCCACGCAGTATCGCAGTCTTGCTGGGGCTCTGCAGTATCTTACTGTCACTCGCCCGGATTTATCTTTTGTTGTGAATCGGGTCTGTCAGCATATGCACTCCCCGACTACTGAGCATTGGGCAATGCTCAAACGTGTTCTGCGGTACGTTAAAGGCACTTTGCATTTTGGTCTGTTTATTCGCCCATCCTCCTCTGTTGCATTGCATGCTTTTTCGGATTCAGACTGGGCTGGGGACCCCGCTGACAGAAAGTCTACTAGCGGCTTTGCGGTTTTTCTTGGTGACAATCTGATCTCTTGGTCTTGCCGGAAGCAACGTACGGTTGCTCGTTTGTCTACAGAGGCCGAGTACAAGGCACTAGTTGACGTGTCTGCTGAGGTCACCTGGTTGGTTTCTCTATTGCATGAACTTCGGTTGCCGTTGGCAGCTCCTCCACTCTCTGGTGTGATAATCTGGGTGCAACTTATCTCTGTTCCAACCCGGTGTTCCATGCTCGTACGAAACATGTGGAAATTGACTATCACTTTGTTCATGACAAAGTGGCAAAGAAAGAGTTGCAGGTTAGCTTCATTTCTACTAAGGATCAGCTGGCTG